GATTAACGAAAGAATCTAAATGCATAACCCATGGCACAAACAATAGTGTGGTGAAGGCCTTGGGGGAGGCGGGGATAGAAGGGGTCAATGGGGGAAAGGGGAGACATCTGTAAATACTCTCAACAATAAAGATAAAAAAATGAAATAAAAAAAAATAAAGAAGTGATTACCAGGTAAAACTAGAAATTCCTCCTCTGAGCAACTTGAAAAACAACAAAAAAGTGACAGATGAGACATTCTTTCCAGGGCTGTGAATCTCTGTAAAATGGACCTTCTCCAGGCACTGAAAAGGCTTCCTTCTTTCTCTGTTTGCCGGGAGTGACGTGGGGAACATAGGACTCGTCCCCCAGAGGCACCAGAAAGACTAAAGCAGAGCCTGGCTGTGGCACATATTATGGGTAGCAGAGGACAGCAGGGACGCTAGTCAGTGTGGGCTTTTAAAGGCTAGAGAGCTAAGACAATGGGAACCCAGATAATGAAACCAGTCCACTGCCTCCTTACTGTGCTATCAGGCCCCAGGCCCTGTGACAGGTGAGACTGACGTTTTCCTTGGCGGGACAGAGAGGCTCTGCAGGACAGGCTGGGGTTCCTCTGCTGGGGGCCTGCAGGCCTGGCACTCAGACTCCCTGAGCCAACAGCTGCTGGGCAGTCGCTGCTGCCAAGTCACTTCAGGTTGGCAGCATTTCCAGTTTCGAAAACCCTCCCCCGCCTCCCAGGGCCCTGGCTTGTTCCTGAATTTGCCGTAACGGCCTCTGGACAACGCTGCCTCCCCCCAGGAGCTGCGGTGACATCCCTGGTCCACGTGGTCCAAGGGTGAACATTTACAAGATCGACCACCGCAAGTGCCACTTGTGTCTGTACCTGGACTACTGCTGCTCTCCACCAGCCTTGTCGTTTAGCCTTCAAAAGCACACACGTGTGCACACACGCACACACACACACACACACACACTGTCCCTAGAAATACCAGAAGTCACTACCAGCCTAAGAAGGGATGGGAGAGCTTTTCCTGATTCTTTATGAAGGTGGATTTTCTCTGCTTCAGAACGGCAGCTCTCTCACATGCACACACCCACGTGCACACCCCCACACACACTCACATGCACGTGGACACTATTATCAGTTAGATAAACTTTCAGGCTCATTTCTGCTTCTAAAGTCATGTTAAAAATAAACAGACAGTGCTCGGTGCCCGTGGTTAGGAAAGATCCCAGGACTTTGCTGTGTGATAAAGGGGCCCAGGAGGGGAAACACGGAGGAGGGGTGTCCTCTCCCACAGCCTGTCTCCCAGAATCCAGCTCACACTCGGAGCACACCTGGCCCCTTTGCCGCGTCCCCACAGGCCGTAGCTGGTGAAACGAACCTTGTCCCCGGGAAAGCTCCTCGGGAGCCCCTGGGAGCCTCACGCCTGCCCCAGAGGCAGCCTCACCTCGCGAGTCCTTTGGTTGGTCACCTTCACCATGACCTCTTTCTGTAGGTCGTAGCCCCTGGAATCTGACGATGCTAAATTCTTCACTTTCAATTCCATTTTAAGTCCCTGGTAAGAGAAACACTTCTCACGAAACAATCCGACGTTTATGAGCATCTCTGCCATGTCCTTCTCAGTCTCTGCACAGAAGATGGTCCAACTCCTCTTTCTTGGGATTCCCACCACGAGGTGGGACGGAGCACCGGAGTCCCTCAGCAGTGTCCTGGAGCTGACACTTGCAGGCCTTACCGAAGTGATTACACCTCTGGCGAGCTTCCTGATGACTGGGGTCCTGTGTCACCAGGGAGCTAGCCCCAGTCTAGGTCTTCTCTGTGGCACAAAAGCCATCAAGAAGCCTGCGCAGAGGCCCCCCTGGAGCCAGTCAGGGTGGGTGGTTATGGTGGGCTTGTGCTGGTCTCGCATCCTGGGGGCGGTCATGGTCGTGGTTGGCCAGAGGTGGAAGAGGGACACTAGGGGCTGGGACTGGGAAGGCCTGGGCACTGGCTGAGATTCTGCTGCTAATGGGGCTCAGCCCTGTTCTCCGAGGTCCTTTCCGGACCTGACATTGAACCACTGTCTGGCTCTTACCTTCCTCAGCTCTTCACTCATTTGATTCGCTTCTGCGACCAGGGGCATCAGCTTGATGTAGTCCTGGAACACAGCCAGGACACTGGGGTCCGCTTGCCCATCGCCACCGCTCCCCGCGCCTGGGAGAGAATCAGAGTGGAAGGGAAGGTCAGGCTCTCGTTCTGCGCTACTTTTTGGCCATGAAGAAACAGACATGCTCACTGGTTCATTCAAATATTCATCAAATATTTACATTTTAAAATTACAAACGTGTGATTAAAAAAATAATTAACTGGGGAAAGAGACAGTGCCTGGTTTTTACTTAAGTAGTTGCTCCTCTCAACCCATGCATGGTGGCAGCCTCGTGACAAGAGGCTCTCTGCCTCTGGTCCCCATTCTTGGTTGCAGGATCCTTGACCCAAGGTGGTTCCAGTGTTTGAAAAGCAGAAAGGAGGCCAGTAATGTCCAAAGTGAGGTGAGGAGAGAGTGGTGTGAGGTAAGATTGAAGAGAAAGTGTGTAGTAGATCATAGAGGGCCTTCAACACCATGGAAAGGAGTTTGAATTTGATGCTAACAACATCGAGAAATTAATGAATATGTTTCTGCCTGAAAAGTATTATGATCTGATAAGTTAGGAGGTGACTACACTGTTCAGGCAAGAGAAGGTGGTGGCTTGCCCTGAGATGGTGGCACAGGAGGGCAGAGAAAAGGCAGACTGGATGGAGAAGCGAGGGGAAGGTTTTTGACTTGAGCAGTTTGCCAAGATGGTAAATCCTGGGCCTGGAATGAGTGGGGAACCAAGAGCTCTATTTCAGACACTTTCAGGTTGAGATACCTGTGGGACATGCAAGCAGAGATATCAAAAAGGCAGCTGGACCAAGGGAGCAAGTAGCTATCAAGAAGACAGTTGCTTTCCGATCGGCCCATGGAAAATGCCAGAAGTCAGGGCCCAGGCTGCTCACCGAGCTTGTCCACGCTCACTCCCTCGGCAGCTGCTCTCTCCAGCTGGAAAAAGTCATAATCAAACCGGCTTAAGTCCTCACTGCCTCGCTCTGAAGGAAACCCGATGTAGAGGTAGGCACTATTGGATCCCAAAATAATCCGGTCCTAGGGAAGAGAGGGTCAGCTCAGAGGGACAATGCTGACCTCACAGGACCCTCCCTCTGGAGGCCAGAGGGGGTGAGGTCAGCCTGCTCCAGGAGGGCCAAGGCCCTGCAACCAGCCCAGCTTTGGGAAGAGACCCATAAATGAGGAGGGAAGGGGTGGCATCTTGCTATTGTGTGCATGCTTTCATTTATTTCTTCCTTTATTCTACATGGGGCACTGACTCCCCATCAGGCACTGGGAATCAGTGGGGACCAAACAGACCGAATCCCTCCCCTCCAGGACTTTATAGACTAATGAACGATGTAATCAATAACCTGTGAGAGATGCTTGAAGGGGGAGAGCAGTGCTTCTGCAGAGTATGCAAGGGGGCCTGATCACACTGGGGATTCGAGAAGTTCTCTTCTAAGGTGTACCGCTGAAGGTGAGACTTTAAGGGTGAGAAGTTTAGGGGAGGCAGAGAAGGCCGCTGCAGAACAGGGTCTGGGATGTTTTGAGCTACCAAAAGTGGGACCAGGAGAAGCACATGCAGAGCGATGAGGCCCGAGGAGATGGGGAGATGGAGGCAGCTCACACAGGCGTCCTAAAAGGGCTGTGACCCAGGATTTCCAGAAGGGAGTGACCTAATCCAATTTGCTTGTCTAAAAGGCTCTCTGGTTCCAGTGTGGAGAATGGATTGGGCAGGGGGTTGGGCTGTAGGGAAGCTGGAGGAGCCCAGTGGTGCTGGGCACTGGGCTGGGGTGGTGGGGAGGTGATGGAGCTCATAGCTCAAAGAGACGGTCATAGCTCAAGTTGCTGCACGGTCCCTCTCAATGGCAGGCTTTTTAAAAAATCTAAAATGTCATAAATGTTAGGGTTAGGCGGGGTCTTGGTGATCGTTTCGTTTACCCCTCACTCTGGTTTATAGGTGAGGGTCAAAGAGGTGAAGGGGCCTCCTAAGAACACACATGGAGTTAATAGCAGACCCCCCGACTCCCCAGCTGTGACCCTGCCACCGCAGCAGAGGGAGACGAGGGGGTCAGGCCCCCAGCCCTGCCCTGCCCCCACTCCAGCACTCTCTCTGCTCTGACTTAGGAAATCCGGGGGCCGCAGGGAAGTTTACCAAATGCTGCAGCTTCGTCTTGGTCGTGATGGGCACCCCGTTAACAACAACCTTGCATTTGCCGTGTGGAGTGACTGTCACTTTTCCATCCAGATTTGTGAAGGAAGCGTGTTTATCTGCAATTCTAAAAGGACAAGTTTGTCTAAGTGACCAAAAAAATTATGATTTTAGCATCCCGGCCTGGGGGTGACTGGGAGAATTCCGAGGCTCCTCGGATTGAGGGGGTCACAGTTCTCTAACGCTGGACGAAGATGCTCGTGGAAACATACCCCAGGCCTTGGAGAGGGATGGCGTTTGAAGCAGCCCGGCCAGCATCACAGGAACCTGAGAAGTGAGGGTAACTTATTTTCAAATTGTTTCAGGGTCTGACCTCCAGTTCACACGTCTGATGTTTGGGAAGAGCCATTTCCTGTCCTATCTATAGGATCACGTGCAGGGATGGATTTTTCCACTGAGACTTTTAATCACACAGGTGCTTGGACATCACCTTACCTTTGGGATAATTGTACTTTCTGCCCTTTTTTCTGTTGGGGGAGGGGATTCCTAACTTTTTGAAAGTTCCACACTCTTCATAGGAATTCTGGAGGAGGAGCTATTGAGTCTGGGCCTCAGGAGACGCATTGAAGCCCGGCCACAGGGAAGGTCCTGGTCTGCGAAGCCGTTTCTACCCAGAGCTGAAAGCACCACCCAGGCCTCCTGGGGGCTGGCCCCCTCCTCCCAGCCCCTCTGCCATCCTGCATGTGCCCCTCCTGTCTGGGGGGTCGCAGGGCTAGGGCGGGGGAAGCCAGATACTCCTTGAATTCTGGTGCCATTTCCCAGTGGATGAATGGGTAACAAAACGTGGTCTACACATACAAGGGAATATTACGCAGCCTTGAAAAGGAGGGCAATTCTGACACATGCTACAACATGGCCGGACCTTGAGAACATTATGCTAAGTAAAATGTGCAGTCAGAAATGGACAAATGCTGTATAATTCCACTTAGAGGGGTACCGAGAGTAGGCAAGTTCAGAGAGACAGAAAGAAAAATGGTGGCTTCCGGGGCTGGGGGTGGCAGAGAAACGGGGAGCTGGTATTTCATGGATGCAGAGTTTCAGTCTGGGAAGATGAGACAGTTCTGGAGACGGGTGGGGGTGATGGGTGCACAACCATGTGAACACACTTAATCCACTGAACTACATACCTAGAGGTGGCTAACTCGGGGAAGTTTCTATTATGTGTACTTTACCACAATAAGAAAAAGAAAGGAAACATGCTCGTGGGGCAGGAAGGCGAGTCCATGGGTGAGTACCAGCCTGAATGGAGTACTTGAGGACCCCCGTGAGCTGCGGGTCCTCATTGACGTTGAGGAGGTGGGGGAGGGTCTTCAGCATCTGCTGCTCCTGGGGGAAAAGTGGAGAGGGCCCAGGTCACCAGACCCCTCAAGAGAACAATGTTGTCCTGTCCACCTCTCATCAAAGCCACCTGTCCATGCATCCTGTCAAATCAACTGTGAGGCAAACCGAGGGGAGGAAGCCGGGTGGGGCTGGGGGCTCCCCTGACAGCAGGGCCGAGACCCTCAGCAGGTCAGCAGTCAGGGGCCTGAGCTCATCTGGACAAGGGCTGTTCCAAAGCGCAGCCAGTTTCCAACTCTCTTCCCCTTCCCCGCGGCCCTCGCATTGTCCTGTCCACTTTGACTTGACCTTCACCCTTTCCTTCAGGCTGCTGGCACCCCCAGGCGTCCCCCCTCTGGTGCTCAGCCTGGGTAATCCTCCCCTGGGCCTCCACTTAACCTGCTACCCAAATCTCTTCCCCCAGGTCCTGCTGCCAGGTCAGATAAGCAGACGTTGGCAATGTGGGTGTCACACTGCCCTCTCCTGGTGACCTAAATGCACGGTCATTCTTTGACAGGATATTGATTGATTGACATTGTGCGTCTGGGGGATTGATAGTCAAACAGAACTGGAATAAACTATCCAGGCACAAGGACTGTTTCTGAATCTTGAAGTTCTGATAAAGAGTAAAGAGGGTAACCCAGCCGGCGTGGCTCAGAGGTTGAGCATTGACCTAGGATCCAGGAGATCGGGGTTCGAATCCTGCTCAGGGCACATGCCCGGGTTGCAGGCTCCATCCCCAGTAGGGGGTGTGCGAGAGGCAGCCAATCAATGACTCTCTCATCATTGATGTTCCTCTCTCTCTCTCCCTCTCCCTTCTTCTCTCTGAAATCAATAAAGACATATTTTTTTTTTAAAAAAGAAAGAGTAAAGAGGGTAAAAATTATTCCCATTTTGCAGTCCACGCAGAACACAAGATCCTGTGTCCCTGCGCTCTGACTCCCACGGGCCCTTGCCGCTAAGGGTCAAAAAACCTGGCTGCCCCTTACGTGGACTGTTACTTTAATAGTGCGTGTGGCTTCTGCGTGCACCCCATGTTGTGCCCAAACCTCTAGAATCCTTGCACCCTAACTTGACGTGGCCTCCTGGTGCCACCCCCCCACCTCACTCCACTCCCGCCTCCAGAGCTCACGTCGCTTCTGGGCTTTGTGGGCCTTCGGAGGCCAGGCCTGGGTTTGGTCGGAGCCTGTGGCTTTGGGGAGAAGGCCCTATGGGGGTGCGGCGTTGACGGGGCAGGGACGGCACCCCTGGGCGGGTGACGCTCACCTGGGCGATGGCCGCGTGGCGCAGCTGCCAGTCTTCGCGAGCCCGCTCCAGCCGGTGGGCCCAGCTCAGCTGGTGCAAAGGGGCCGGCGGCGCTGCGGGGAGGGGCATTTAAGCAGCAGCTGGGGCGGGGAGGCCGCGGCCAGGCTCCTCCTCAGGCCGGCGCGGGACTCTCAGCAGGAGTGGGGACCGGCCTGCACCGCCCCGCGGAGAGGACGTCCCTGGGTAAGTTCTGCAAAGTACTGTCACCTTTTCAATCCGAGGAAACCAAAGCAAGGAGCCCAGCTAGGAGGAGGCGTGAAGCTCCATGTTCTGTTTTTCATCCCCGCTGGCTTGTGATACCATGGTTACGGGGAATCCCTCCAGGGCCGGGGGACCCGGGAAAAATGACCTGTCTCGGGGTCTGTGACTGTGCCCATGAGCAATGAATGAGGTGCTCTATTTAGGTCAAGCGTGTCCAGTTTTGGATGGTACAGAGATCTGTGACCAGGCACAGCCATGCCTGGGCTGGGCTGGGTACAGCCTCGAATTCAGAAAGTGCTTTGTTGGGGCAGGAGTCCTAGCGAGTCAGGATGATGGGAGCCAGAGGTGTGCCAGGTGGGGCCCGCCTGCCCTCTGAGCTGGACAGTGAGGGGCGAGGGTGGGCCCTCGTGTGCAGGGCTGTGTCCGGCTGGTAGCACTGAGAGTCCCTCTGGAGCAAGCGAACCCCGCTGGGGGGTGGACTAGGCCCCGAGGCGGGGTAGTGACGGGCCTGAGCGCTGGGCACGGGAGGTTTTGGACTCGCGGTAACACTGTTTTAATGCTGAAGGTTTGTACCAATCTCACTTCGTTGTATATGTTGCGTTTTTTACCCCTCTCGTTCTAAGCTATGAAGGGGCCTAAGATTATAGATAAACACCCCATGCTGCCCACGGAAAGCCGAGGCCTTGACTCGCAGCTGCGGTCGGTTCTCGCTAACGGCACAGTGGAGGCACCTGGGGCACTTTGAGGGGACTGTTGCCCAGTCACCAGGTGACTCTAATGCGCAGCCAAGGGCTGAGCTGTCCTAGGAGAGGGCCCTGCTGCTAATGCTTCTTGAGCTTCAAACGTCACTTGAAACATCACATAACATGAGGCCATCAACATAATAAACGTCAAATGGCCTCGGTCCAGCTCTCGTGAGGAAAATGTCCCAGTAGAAGCAATGGACTCGAAATAAAAATGGCAATAAATAGACTAAAATGACCATTTAGAGGGCAGGGGCATAATTTCTTACAACTGCATGTGAATTTACATTTATACCCAAATTTTTTTTTTTTTTATTTTTTCAAAGTCAGGGCCCAAATGTCCTGGACAAGGCCCCGAGGGCGCCCTCTGGCTGCTGGCTTAGACTCGGGACTCAGTTTACCTGCCATTCTGGAGTTTCCGCTTCCGAGCAGCAGCCTGCTGTTCTCCGCCCTCGACTCTCTCATCAGTGTCGAGGTGTTGACCACAGCTCTGTTCCGGACCTTTTTAGCCCTTTTAAGTACAAAGAGAAGGACACACTCAGGCCCCGGGCCCCTTGGCACTGGGCATGCTCTGATCTCAAAGGGTCGAAGCGGGAGCCTTTCGGCCCCAGGTGATCGCAGATTCCATGCTGACTGACAGGAAACCACAGGGAGACAGGTGACTAGCCGATTTGGGATTGGCATCCGCGCTCCCTCCCGTGGATTTGAGCCCAGGGTTCCCCCTCCACCCAGAACTGGAGTGACAGTGACAGTGACAGGCACAAGAGGTCCCTGAGTCCCCAATTCTATTTCCTTTTGTTTTATTTCCTCTCTTCTCTTACGAATCATTTCGATCTGCCTTCTCTTGAGGCCTTTCCCAAAATGCCAACCCATTAAAGGTACTAGAAGAGTTTGCCAGATTTAGAACTTAAATCTGGGTAATAAATATTCATAAACGTACCTTTCAGCATATCTTAATGTTGATAACGTTTCCTCATAGCAGATGTCAGCTGGACTTATGGCTGCTATCTGCAAAAAAAAATCCCTTTCAGGTTTTGCTTTTCTGTAGGTTTTATTGTTATTGTTGATCTTACATAGTAACATTCATAGAACATCGTGTAATTTACAGTGTTGTTCAAACTTCACCACTCAGGGAACTGAGCAGCCTTGAGGCCGGGACAAGGCTGGAGGCAGAGTTTGCCCAGTTTGGACCCTTCCGCACCCTAACTGAGCACATTCCCCATTGCACCCACTTGGCCAACATTCCGTAACAAAGAGTCAGGAGTCTTTTGCTGAGACGACAGGAGTCAGCCACTCTCTCGAGTGAACATCTGCCTTGTGCGTCTAACAGTCCAATTCATTTCCAGTCTTGCCGTGAAATGACCGCCGATTCAGAATAATATGACACTGTTATTTTTAAATTGATTCGTTTCCCCCTGATAATAAAAGTAATATAGGTTCCTTGTAGAGAACCTGAGAACTACAGAAAGAAATAAAAGGTTGAAATCAGCAATGTAGAGTTTCTTTGGACACTGGCAGAGAGAGCTCCCTCCGGGAGTCAGGAGGTAATCTGTAAGAATGGGAAGTGGCAATGCCAAGTGCTATATTAGTGCTGTGAGGAGAATGATTTTAACAACAACATAATAGCTGAATCAGTCTAAAGGGCTGTAGGAACGCCCGGCCGGTGTGGCTCAGCGGTTGAGCATTGACCTAGGATCCAGGAGATCATGGTTTGATTCCCGGTCAGGGCACAGGCCCGGGTTGGGGGCTCGATCCCCAGCAGGGGGCGCAAAGGAGGCAGCCGATCCATGACTCTCTCATCATTAATATTTCTCTTTCTCCCTCTCCCTTCCTCTCTCTGAAACCAATAAAGATCTATATTTAAAAACGTAAAGGCTGTGGGGAAGCCCTTTACCAGCGCGGTCCTGCTGTTCCCGCCCAGAGCGGCCTGGAGCAGCTTGGTCAGCACGGAGTCTCGGTAGGGAACGTGCAGGACCCTCTTCCCCGCGGCTGCCTCGGCCAGGGCGCTGCAAGGGAGGGCGACACAGCAACACATGAAACACGTGCCTCCCCGGGGACAGTCGGGAGGGGGGCTCCCCACCCCTCCCTGACCTCGGATATCTGAGACATGACTAAGAGCATTCATTTTGTCCTTTCGATTCCACATACGAGTGAAATCATAGGCATTTGTCTTCCCCTGCCTCCCATTTTACTTAGCGATGCCCTCCAGGCCCGCCCGTGCCCTCGCGGGTGACAGGGCTGCTTCCTTTTTTACGGCCGAGCAATACTCCGCTGCATATGGGAGCCACTGTGGTTTTTTAATCCACTGCTCTGCTGATGGGCACCTGGCTGCTTCCAGGTCTTGGCGCTGTGAGCACCACTGCAGTGGGATAGGGGTGCATAGATCCTTCCGAATTAGTGTTTTTGGTTTCTTCAGATACATACCCAGAAGTGGAATTGCTGAGTCACAGAGCAGTTTCATTTTTAGTTATTTGAGGAACATTGATGCTGTTTTCCACAGCGGCTGCTCCAATTTGTGTTCCCAACAATGCACGGGGTCCTCTTTTCCCCGCATCCCCGCCAGCACTTGATGTTTGGTGATTTAAGAAATATTCTATATCTCGCCCGGCCGGGCGTGGCTCAGCGGTTGAGCGTTGACCTAGGATCCAGGCGATCGGGGTTCGATTTCCGGTCAGGGCACAGGCCCGGGTTGTGGGCTCGATCCCCAGTGGGGGGCGTGCAGGAGGCAGCCGATCAATGACTCTCATCATTGATGTTTCTCTCTCTTCCCCTCCTTTCCTCTCTCTGAAATCAATAAAGATATCTTAAAAAAAAAAAATTCTATATCTTGATATAGGTGGTAATTACAGAGAGACAGAGAGAGACAGACAGAGAGAGAGAGAGAGAGACAGAGACAGAGAGAGACAGAGACAGAGAGACAGAGACAGACAAGAAACATAAAATTCGACATGGTGGTTGCCCCCAAGGAAAGCACAGGGAAGGAAAACCAACTATTTCTTGGGTTGGGTGGTGGTTTTATTAATGTTCACTTTATTAAAAAGTAATGAGCTAGTGAAAAATACAATATAGGGGAGGACCGGCCAGTGATGACAGTGAATCATGAACTGAGACTTACGATTAATCTAACTTTTGATATCTAAGGTCATTTTTATGGCACAAAGAAATACTTACCCGCTGATGATTACCTGATCACATTTCCTAAATTGGTTAAACTTAAGTTAACCCGTGACCCTTCCCGCAGCCTGTCTCCTTCGGATCCGGAGGATTTCTGCCGTTCGCTTCCCGCCAAATCCACCAGGTTGATGTGGGCCTGCTTGGTGAGGCCTCTGTCCAGGAAAACCTGGGAGAAAACACCCGCGTCACACTGTCCGAGTGGAAGCAGGCTGCCCACGGGCTCCATCTAGCTTACATGTTAAAATAGTGTTTTCTAATTGTTTTCCACACTCAGAAAAGGCATAGTAAGATTTACAGGTTCCAGTGCCATCCGCTTAACAGTGACATTTTACAATAGCACATGACCAGGCCCAAGGGTCTCAGCTGCCTGCCCGAGTCTGTAAAGCTACTTCCAGTGAAACAGCAGATACCGATTCTTGCTCTAGAATTCCCGCGGTTAATGCACATTTTAAATATAAAATGCCCTGAAATCTGCAAATGCAGTAACTACTGTTCAGTGTGGTGTGGTCGTGTCGTGGAAGGAACGTGGATTTCAAAACACGGCAGATTCCCCTGCTGGTCACAGGACTGTGAGCAGTGGCTTAACTTCCTCAGCTGCAGCACAGGGGTGACAGCACTTTGGGGGGACGTTCTGACAGTAAAAGACAATAGATGGCACGGTTCTAGCCGCGCCTGGCGACAGTAAGGGGCGGCGTCCTTACCGACACCGATCAACGGCATTTGGAAATTTCTAGAGATCTCTGCTCATTTTTTTCAGCCTGACTTCTTCTCTTCTAAAATATCAAGGTGAAAAAATAGGGCAAACCGTTTAGAAAGTTGATGAACTTCCCTAACGTAAAATTGAGTAGTGCCGAGACGTTCACAACGTTCTTTAAAACGGAGCATGTTGTTTAAGGCTCCCGGCAGCCCCGGGAGGGGACCTCGGCCTCCCCGAGAGAACAGGGACCCGACTCGGGGAGCAGAACTTACTCCCAACGTCTCGGGGCTGGTCAGTGAGGCCGCACGTGGTCCGGTGGTGTCCGCTGTCCCCGCTTAGAGCAGGACACCCTTCATTTATTATTATTCCTCCGCTAGTGCTGGGCTCAGGGGACAGATGTGGCCAGCTCGTAGCTGATTGTAACACTGGCCCAGGCTTTGCGGGGAGGGGTGGGATTGGTTCCAAGCCCATTCTCAGGCACCAAAGTCAGATGCCCAAGCCCCTTATATCAATAGCAGAGTATTTGCATACAACCTACACATGCTTTAAATCATCTCTAGATTGCTGACAGCGCCTAACACAACGTAAGTGCTGTGCAAACACCGTTACACTATATTGTTGAAGAAATAACAAGAGAAGCGTCTGTGCATGTTTGGCACAGATGTGGCCACGGCAGTCCCGGGCACACAGCACACGTCGGCAACAGGGGCCTTCCCCTGCCCCCCAGCATTTCTCACCCACGACTGGTCGAGTCCGCAGATGGGACCCTGCGGGCGTGGAGGGCTGACTGTGACGATCTCTGAATCAAACTGGTGACACTGTAGAGACAGATCGCTCTCTGACACCCGCACCAAGGAGCATGGAGAAAAGCGGGCTCGCGTTTCAAAGATTCTGGTTAGTAAAGAGTTACCCGGTTTCAAAGGCTTTGTTGCGGTATCTGGGGGTCCCCTAGGCCCCTGGAGCTGAGAACTGGTCACTAGATCCGCGCGCCAGGGTGGGCATGGATGAGGGGGAGGCAGAAAAATAGCAAGTGCCTCAGTTTCCCCCGCTCGTGACCTTGCTGTCTGTGACCTTGCCACCTCACGACTGGAAGCAACGCCTTGATCCATCTGGAAGGATCCTGTAATACTCGCCAGCTCCCCATGCTGCTGGGGACCCTCCTCGGGGACGCCCTTGGAGGGAGATGGGGACAGTGGCCTTCGCCCGGCCCTCACCTGCTTGAACTGAATGGTGATGACCATGTGGGACCTGCTGCTGCTGGCGTTCATGTTGGTGGAAGCTGTGGTCCTTAGTTTCGTGCCTTGTTCCATGAGCCTTTCAATCTGGGCGTAGCTCTCACACGGCACGGACGTCAGGCCGTCCACGTAGAAGCCCAGCTGGGGATCCTCCCTTACTCTCAGCCCTCCGGGCTCCTTGGTTCTAGACAGCAAATCTCTTACCTATGCGGGCAAAAAAATTAAAAATGTAAACTCCAGGGAGGCAGGGATTTTTGTCTGCTTCACTGTTAGAGCTCTGCCTAGAATGGATTAGGTGCTCAACAGATATCTCTTGGATGAATAAATGAGCGTTACATTCCTGTAGGTACCAGACAGCCTCAGTGCTCACCCAGGCTGCTGTGAGGCTCTCCTGACGGCCTCTAGCTGGCACTCCCTTAAACCCAGCTTTCTCTGCCGCCGGAGAAATCTAAAACCCCAGCTCTTCTAAAACCCCAATCTGATTGCCTTTCTCCCCCATAGAAAACCCTCCATCGGTTCTCCATCACCTCCTAGATAAAGGCCCCTTAGGATGTGGCTGCCTGGCTTTAGCTTCATCCCCTGAGGCTCCCTGACCTCCCCCCATGATCCAAGTCTGGCTGCACGGGGCAGTCCCTGCTCCCCTAAATGCCACGCACCTTCAGACATTCCCGGACCTGTTCATTCCAATCCTGCTGCCCAAAGTGCCCTTAGTTGCGCCCCCCGACCCTCCTACTGCTTCACCAAACTCATAAACGCCTTCCAAGGCCCAGGCTAACCCCTGAGCTCCGACCATGAGCCATCCAGGCAGCGTCAGGCACTGCTCGTCTGTGTCTGTCTTGTCACCATTCCTGCCTGGAGTGGGCGTCTGGTGGCCTCTATAAGGCCGGAGAAAGGATGGGTGGGGGGAAATGGCATGACCGGAATGGAAAAACAGTTCTTCGTGGCTGAAGCCTAGAGTGGAAACGGGGGCACGAAATGAAGCCCGAGAGGGAGGTCGGGGCGGGTCCGTGTGGGGCTGGAGGGCTCTGGCTTCTCCTGTAGGGCAGGTGAGGGGAGCCCCTGATGCCTGTCAAAGCGCAGAGCCTCTCAGATGGGCGTCGGGAAGCACGGCCACGGTTACCTGCTCGTTGTAAATTTCCAGCATACTGAACGCAACCTGCGTGGAAAAGAGCGTCGAGTAAATTAAGATTCTCTTGGAACGTTCATCTTTGGGGGGGAAAAAGTAATACGGAAACAAAAGAGATGTCTAACGGGGAAGAGCTAACATTAAATGAGGGAAAACTCTTATTTCACGTGCACTGTGAGATTCTCAAATGGTTTTAATGATACGGAGGAAATTCTTAATATAAATTGAAAACAGAGGCAGAACTCTGTGTGTGTGTGTCCGTTTCAATTGGGAACATAGAAAGGGGTTCTTTACGGCTGACCCTCCAATCTGAACATATGTAAAGAAAAGCTGGTCTTTGCCATGTTTTTGGAATATTGCTAGTCGTGCTTTCACCTCTTAAACAAGAGGTGAAGTTTGGAGGAGTTTGAATGGCTCTAATCTAGAGAAAAGGCCCTGAGATTCTTTTTTTTTTTTAATTTTATTTTTCAATTACAGTTTACATTCAATATTTTGTATTAGTTTCCGGCGTACAGCAGAGTGGTCAGTTACGTACTCTACAAAGTGATCCCTTTGATATTTCCAGTACCCGCCTGGCAGCCTACGTAGTTATTACAATAGTATTGACTATATTCCCTGTGCTGTACTTGACATCCCCAGGGCGGTTTTGTAATTACCGACCTGTAGCGCTTAATCCCTTTACCTTTTTCACCCAGCCCCCCGCCCCCCTCCGTTCTGGCAACCGCCAGTCTGGTCTCTGTTTCTATTTTGTTTCTTTTGTTCGTTAGATCCCACATGTAAATGAAATCATATGGTATTTGTCTTTCTCTGCCTGACTTATTTCACTTAACACAATACCCTTTAGGTCCATCCATGCTGGCGCAAAAGGTAAGATTTCAACCTTTTTCTTTTTTATTGCTGAGTAATATTCCATTGTATATATGTACCACAGCTTTTTTATCCACTCGTCTATTGATGGACACCTAGGTTCCCTCCGTATCTTGACTAATATTAATAACACTGCAGTGAACATAGGGGTGCATATAATCTTTCGAATTCATGTTGTGGGGGCTTCAGGTATATACCCAGAAGTGGAGTCGCTGGGTCATAAGGCAGCTCCATTTTTAATTTTTTTGAGGTAACTCCATACTGCTTTCCACAGTGGCTGCACTAATTTGCGTTCCCACCAGCAGTGCACCAGGGCTCCCCTTTCTCCACACCCTCACCAGCGCTTGTTGTTTGTGGATTTGTTGATGGAGCCGTTCTGGCAGGTGTGAGGTGATATCCCATTGTGGTTTTAATTTGTATTTCTCTGATGATTAGTGACATTGAGCATCTTTTTCTATGTCTAATGGCCATCCGTATGTCCTCTCTGGAGAAGTGTCTATTCAGGTCCTCTGCCCATTTTTAAAACTGGATTGGTGTGGGGGTTTGCGGAGGTTTTTTTGGTGTTGAGTTGTATGAGCTCTTTATGAATCTTGGGTATTAACCCCTATTGGATGTATTCTTGGAGAATATCTTCTCCCATTCAGTGGGTTGTTTTTTCATGTTGTTTATGGTTTCCTTTTGCTGTGCAAAAACTTTTTAGGTTGATGTTGTCCCATTTATTTATTTTTAATTTCGTTTTCCTTGCCTGAGGAGATAGATCAGAAGAAATATTGCTAAGAGAAATGTCAGAGATATTATTGCCTATGTTTTCTTCTAGGAGTTTTATGGTTTTGAGTCTTACATTTAAGTCTTTAATCCATTTTGAGTTTGTTCTTGTGTGTGGTGTAAGAAGGTGGTCTCATTTCGTTTTTTGCATGTGTCTGTCCAATTTTCCGAACAGCATTTATTAATTAGACTGCCTTTACCCCATTGTATTTTCTCGCCTCCTTTGTCATATAGTAATTGACAAAATACACATGGGTTTATTTCTGAGCTCTCTATTTTGACCCACTTATCTATGTGTCTGTTTTTATGCCAGTACCATTCTGTTTTGATTACTATGGCCTTGAAGTATAGTTTGATATCAGGTAGCACAGTACCTCCAACTTTGTTTTTCTTCCTCAAGATTGTTGTGGCTATTTAGGGTCTTTTCTGGTTCCATATAAATTTATGGATTATTCTAGTTCTGTGAAATATACCATTGTTATTTTGATAGGAATTACATTGAATCTATAAATTGCAATTTTGAATCTATAAATTGCAATTTATAGATTCAGTGTAATTCAGTATATTTCTAAATATACTAAAATGTTAGTATTTAGTTGGGTGCTACAATTATGAGTAATTTCTATTCTCTAACTTGGACACATTACTTTTAAAATCAGGGAAAATTTAAGTACAAAAATGATGGATTATTGAATTTTCAGAACATAAATTTAATCTCTTTTTGCCCATTTAGAAGAAGCAGAAACATCAGACTATGCTGACAGGTATTTGCTGACATTTAACTGTCATGTTTTAAAGCAAATTATGTTCATGGTGACTCTTCATCTTAAAAATGTCACCAACCTTCAAATGAATCTAAAATTCAGTCTTGGGCCTTCTATGCTAGGACAAATAAGAAACTCTGCTGGGACAATTAAGAAACAAAATAACATTCTTTATTTAGAAATAAAAAGCAATAAATTAAGATGAAAACACACTTTGGTAGAAGAGGGCGGCAGAGGAAACCACAGACTCGACTCGGCTCAGGTCTGTTGTATAAGCCTCAACAGGCATCCCTGGTGAGTGTCAGTATTAAAGATATGTGTCCGTGACACTCAAAATGCCTCTTACGGATGTTTCCTTGGGTTCATCTCCATAGAACCAGAAAAATTCAACATTTTATTTGGCTGCAACTTGATTTTGTGATCGTGTAGAAAGGATTTGGGTATGAAAAGTTAACCTTATCTTAAAAAAGAGATGCCCATGACTTCCCTTTGGGGTGGAGCATTTCCAAAATGAAAAAATAAACAGTCCTTAAAGAGGGTCTCTTAGAACAACACATACCTGGTATTCGTGATCTCTCTGCCGGCTCTCAATTGCTTGGAAGAGCTCTTCACACACACTGGGAATGATGCCCTTGTTTGCGCCGAACCCGATCATGGAATAGCTTTTTCCAGAGCCAGTCTGGCCGTAGGCCAGGAGGGTGGCGTTGTAACCTTGCCACGCACTGTCCAGAACTCCCCTGCCCAGGTCCCGGAAAACATCTCTCTGGAAGGAAGACCCAGGCGTCATGCTCAGCACAGGCTTCTCACGGTACCCCTGAAATCTACTAAATATTCTGGTTTTGATGGCTTCCACCTTAATTAGCACACAACCTACTTGAGACAGGGCTCAGGTGCTGCCTTAGAGCCAACGGGAGAAAGCTGGAAACCAAAAAGCGTTTCGTCCGCTTGGGGGACACTGGCCACCAGGCATCGCCAGGGGCCTCCCACGGCTGGGTCTCCACCAGCAACGAATCGGTGGATTTTACGGCCTTTCCCGGACACGCGCTAGTTCTTCAAACTTCAGGAGGCTACAAAAACTTCAAGGCTAAAGGGACAGAGACCGGCCGGGGTTTCCTGCTCTCTCCTTACTCTTTAATCCGAATAACGGCCTCACAAAAGTCCTACACTGATTCCTCTACAGCTACACCGTTGTTTTTTCACACGATCTACTGGGTCTAAAGCATTTCTCCAACACGCACACGTGTACATGTGCACCCTGTGCGTGTGCACCCTCTTTTAAAGGGGGGCACACAGATGTCGGTGCCCACAGTTGCTTGAAACAGAGGGTGTGGTCTGACTGTGTGCTCACCTGGGCTGGGGCCACAGCCAACAGGAATTCTCTCATTTGAGGCAGTTTCCAGAGTACATTCTTCTTAATATAAATAAAATTGTGAGCATCACTTGCTCCATTTGGTATTGTATATACCTTTATATAACATATATAGTTTTTATTTCTGGGAAAGAAGCAAATACCAACATAGCATGATTTATCTGAGGACAACAGACAATAACCAGTTTCCTTGTACTATTCATTTCACACGAGAGGAATAAACATTATCGGACGACTAGAGGGTTAGGGAAGCTCCAGGCCTAAAATATGGACTTTGAGCCGTGGTTTCTCCAGAACATCGTAACCATACTCTTGGCAGAAGAGAAAGAAAGGACTTTATAGAGAATATCTACCCCACCTTGGGAGCTAGTCGCTAAAACTGAGGAGGGGTTACTAAGCTTAATTAAATGACTAGGCTTGCTGGCCTCTCTGAGCTATTTGTAGATTTGGGGGAATGTTTCACTATCAATTTTTATGGGTTAAAAACTTCAAACAAGTAATACAGAATTTTACTAAATAAAACCTTATAGAATGGAGTCGTTCTATAAATGTTGTGGGCCGTACAGTTTTCCTGTATAGTTTCCCCTTGAAACACCTTTGGGACATCAGCTATGTGTGTACGTGGCTTACGGTTAACCTAAGGCCGGGGCTGGTGGTTCGGTTTTTAATTTTTTGAGGAACCTTTACACTGTTTGCCACAGTGGCTGCCCCGATTTCCTTTCCCGCCAGCGGTGCAGAAGGGGTCCCTTTGCCCCGCATCCTTGCAAAACTTGTTCCTTGGCTTTCTGATGATAGTCATTCTACCAGGGTGAGGTGATGTGGTTTTGGTTCGCACGCCCCTGCTGACGGGCGATGTTGAGACCTCCCCATGTACCTATTTGTCCAGAAAGGTCCTCTGCTCATTTTTAAATTTGATTATTTGGTTTTGTGCTACTGAGTTGTCTGAGGTTTTTATATAGTTCGGATAGTAACCCTCGATCAGATAGGATTTGCAAAGGTTTTCTCCCCCATTCCGTACGTTGCCTTTTGCCATCTTGATGGTTTCCTTTGTGTACGTGAGTTTTTTGACTTGATGTCCCACTTGTTTGTTGTTGCTTTTGGCGTCAAATTCAAATGACCGTTGTCAAGATCGATGTCTTAGGAGTTTACTACCTGTGTTTTCTTCTGGGAGCCTTATGTGCCCAGGTCTTATGTTCAAGTCTTTAATCCGTTTCAAGTTAATTTTTGTGAGTGGTGTAAGGGAGGGGCCCAGTTTTCCCAGCCAGCACCGTTTCTCGAAAAGACTATTCCCATGGCAAACTTGGGCTTCTTTGTTGTAAACTGAGGCGTGGGTTTGTTTAAGGGCCCTGTTCTGTTCTGTTGATCTATGTTTGCATTTTTATGCCAATAACCTACTGTTTGATGACTATGGATTTGTTATATAGTTTGAAATCAGGAAGCCCGATGCCTCCAGCTTTGCTCTGTCTCAAGATTTCTTTGGCTAATCGGGGCCTATTGTCGTTCCTGTAAGTTTTAGGGTTGTTTTATTTCTGTGAAAATGCCATTGGAATTTTGCTACAAACTGCACTGGATCTGGATCCAGCAGGTCCCAGAATAATGTTGTTTCATTCAATGTCATGTCTTTTTAATGCCGATGAGAAAATTTTTGATTCCCAGCAGAGGCAGCCGTCAGTGTGGAGTTCGCTTGTTCTCCCCACGTCTGCGTGGGTTTTCTCCGGGGACCCCGGTTTCCTCCCACATCCCAAAGATGCACATGTGAGGTGAATGGCTGTGTCTACATTGTCCCAGTCCGAGTGGGAGTGCGGGGGTGTGAGTGACCCTGCGACGGTAGGGTGTCCCATCCAGGGTGGGCACCGCCTGGCACCGAGCTGCCGGGAAAGGCTCCAGCCACAAGTCACTCTGAACTGGAGTCAGCCAATGGAAAAGAATTATCTGACTTGTTTTTATCAGTGTTTCTTAAATGTATGCATAGTTCACATTTATTTTAATGGTTAATAGCAGAAGTGTTTTTTACTCTTTAAAGTTTGATTTTTAATTTTTTTTTTTTTTTACCAAAAATATGCCATAGGAACTTCACTCTTGTTTATATCAATTAGCCTAGGATAAAATCGGTTTCGGCATGCATCGCTTTATTTTAAAGTCACAGTCTCCAAGAACCTATGGACAATGTTAAGCGAGCACTTACTATATTGCTTTGGGTAGTATGGATATTTTAATACTATTCACTCTTCCAAAACACGAGCACAAAATATCTTTCTATTTATTTGTGTGTTCAGTTTCTTTTGCCGGTGTCATAGTTTTAAGTGCATAAGTCACCTCCTTGGTTCAATGTATTCCTTGGTATTTCGTTTTGAAAAATGCTGTCTTTCTTGAAGTAAAATTAATACTCATTAAATTTATTCTTTTAATGTATACTGTTTTATGAGTTTTGACATGTGCATTTGGCCATGTGATGGCCACCACAGTGAATATATATTTTTAATTTTAATAACTTCAAAAATTTCCCTTGCGCCTTTTTGCACTCAGAGCCCTTCCCCCACCTTCAGCCCCTGGAGAGCAGTGATTTACTTTGTGTAACTAGAGTTTTTTGTTTTTTTCTAGAGTTGTCATTTAAGTGAATTGTACAGTGTGTACTTTTTTTGGACGTGGCTTCTTTCACTTAGCACGATGCCTTGGGATTCATTCATGCTGTTGCATGTAATGATTAGTTCCTTCTGTTGCTGAACTGTATTCTATTTTATAAATATTTCACCACTTTATTATCCACTCACAAGTTTGATGGACATTTGAGTGCCTGGCTTGGGACGATTATATATAAAGTTGCTATGGATGTTTGTCTACAGGTGTTTGTGAGGACAAATATTTTTGTTCCTCCTGGAACTGCTGGGTTGTATGGTTAAAGGAGTGCTTTAATTGTAAGCTGCCTGTTTTCCAAAACAACTGAGCCTTTTTGCATCGCCGTAAGCACTATATTAAAAGTCCCAGCCCAGCCAGGTGTGGCCCAGAGGTTGAGCATCGACCTAGGATCTAGAAGATCGCAGTTCGATTCCCAGTTGGGGCACAGGGCCAGGTTGCGGGCTTGATTTCCCAGTTGGGGGCGTGCAGGAGGCAGCCGATCAATGACTCTCATCATTGACATTTCTCTCTTTCTCCCTTTCCCTTCCTCTCTCTGAAATCAATAAAGATATATATATATGTGTGTATTTTTTAAAGTTCCAGTTTTCCCACTCGCATGTTGACCTTTGGAATTGCCAGTGTTTAATTTTTGTCATTCTCATGGATGTGTAGCATTATTTAATTGTGGTACTAATTTGCATCTCCCTAATGACGTTGGACACTTTTTTCATTGGTTTTAGGTAATTTTATATATCTTCTTTGGTGAAGACTGTGATCAAATCTTTTGCCATTAAAAATTTTGGGTTTTTTAAAAAATATTAAGTTGTAAGGATTCATATATTTTGGGTGCTTTATCAGACACGTTTGGAAAATATTTTCTCTTTGTGGCTTGCCTTTTTATGTTCTTACTTGCATCTCTCAGAGCACTACCATGTTGAGTAGGAGTGGGCATCCCTGTCTTGTTCCTGACCTTAGAGGAAAAGCTTTTAGTTTTTCATCGACTCTGGTACCAGCTGAGGGTTTATCGTATATGAACGGCCTTTATTACATTGAGGTACTTTCCTAGTCCCATCTTGGTGAGAGTTGGATGTTGAATTTTGTCAAATGCCATTCTGCATGTATTGTCGGTTCCTTAGGGTTTTTTACATAATCATGTCCTATGCGAATAGTTTTACTTCTTTCATCAGCACACCACTTATTTCCTATTAACTGCCTTACTGCCCTGGCTAGCACCTGCAGTAAATGGATAGAAATAGCGAGACTGGGCCTCCTTGACTTATCCCCAGTCTTACAGGAAACATTGTTTCCCCATCAAATGTGATGCTACCTGCATATTTCAAGGAAGTTTTGCTTCTAGAAAGCTCCCTCCTATTTCAAATTTGCTGAGTACTAATCATGACTGGGTGTTCACTTTGTCATACTTGTTTTTGCATCTGATCATGTATTTTTTCGTAAACAAGCATCCTGGTCATGTATTTTTCTCCTCCTGTGATCGTTTATATGACGAATTACATTGATTTTCAAATGTTAAGCCAATCTGACATACCCAGGAAAATTCCTTACATCAAGCCTGATCATCTCTGCCTTTTGACGTTTATTTACATCTGGTGTAATAATCAACATGGCTGGCATTGTCTACCATCTTGCTATTTATATTTTTATTCCATTTCCCCCCCTTTTCCTGCCATGTTTTGGGTTGAGCCTCATAACTCAAGGTGCATCCCAGGGTCCATGAGCTCTCTTCAGTGCTGAAGTCAGACCTGACAGGGTATTTTTAGGAGTGGTTTAATAAAGGCTATCATCTTTGGGCTGAGTTTTTAAAAGACAAGTAGGCAGACAAGAGAAAAAGTTGTGGGGACGTGAACAGCCTCAGTGGCCTGTGGTACAATGTCACCCATGTATGTAACAGAAGGAAAGAGGCAGGACAAAAAATACTCGATGACAGTTGAAGTTTCCCCACTGCCTCTCACACACTCTGATCGCAGACCCTGTAACGTTGAATGCGCTTATTTGCCCATCTCCCCACGTGAAACTGTGAGCAGCTTTAAGGCGGAATAGTATGTGGTATGATAAAGTATTTGATAAAACCAAGGTTCTCACGAGTTTTGCTTATTTTGCTTATCTCAGAGAAGCAAAATATAATGACTCGACTGATATTTTTCAAAATACACAACACTGGGAAACCAACTGACTTGAGTGCCTAAAATTTAGGCAATAGCTGCACTCTGGATCTCGTTTAGCATGAAAAAGCAATAAATTTAAAACCAAACCCTCAAATGGAAGCATGTACTGTAGCACACACGCATAACACCTCATTTGGAAAAAACCTTCCATTGACGTGTTTTAAAAAAGCAATTTACCTGGCCTGCAAATTTACTGTTAGGATCAGCTGAAGTCAACACACCATCTTTATCCACTTGAAATCCACTGTGAGACCAATAAGCCAGGTCAAAAGTGAACGTCTTCGTATGCTCTGGGTGCTTAGGGTCGTGTATAGTGGTGCTAGTCCTGGAATGCATGGAAATCACACATCTGCTCCCAGCATTCTTCTCTCTCTGTAGTCAAATCACAGACTGAGAGTCAAACAGTAGCTTTGGTCAGCCACGTTGCTTCACAGGTCTTTACACCTTGTAAGAAACTCGGCCAGGAACTTACCATTCCTTCACCGAGCTCCTTTCCTCCTTGCTACATTCTAGCGTGAGCTCATCAGCTCGGGTGGCGGACTTAAATCAAATGCAATCTTTTTGAAGAGGGGACCTAAAGGCTGTGTAAATACGTAACTGTTTGTCTACTTCTACATCCTTTGGTTTAAAACTTGCAATAATATTAAAGGCCAGTGAAAAATAAGCCCTGGAACAGCTACTTTCAAGTGTGTTGACTGGTTAGGATATAAAATGGCCTTTTCTTCTTTGGGGTGGTAGTGGTGCAAAACATTTAATTCGCTGACCACAAGTAAATTCTCTTGACATTTATAGTTACCTAATTATGTATCTGCCTGGTTGCTTAAGTATTTTCTGCAATATAGACGAATGTTAAGGGACAGAACTGATACAAACGAAAAATGTGCAGTCATATTGAATGTTACACATCTTGCTGGACAAGAGAAAAAGCAGCAGGTTGTACAAGTGGGAAAAGACCTCTCTTGAGGTCGCCACTACACGGCACCCCGTTCAGGACCAGTTGGTCCAGTAAGCCTTTGTGCGGTGTTCTGTCTGGCACACCCTCTCCAAATCTTACTTATGTATCCTTTATGGTCAGCTCAAATGCTTGTCTCCAGGAAATCAAGATCTGTGGAGGCACAACCACACCTGCTCTCTCTGGGTGCCTAGAGAGCTCCCTTACTCTGGCACAAACTGCTACAAAGAAACGACTTACATAAAACTGTAAGCCAGGGGAGCACAAAGGATTTTCCTTTGAATCCTTACTCTCTAGGACAGCCTTTCATCCACAGCAGACTGTCTTAAGTAACTAATGCATTGGTAATCAAAGGTAAACAATTGCTACAAGGTCCTAGAATGAATCTAAGCCATATTTTTATCCTAAAATGTTGTAGCAACACAGTTTAATGACCAGTGTTTTTGCAGAAATTTACAGAAATACACATACATAAACGCACTTTAAACAGTTCATTCAAAATTGGCAATCTGTTTGCTTATGATCTACTGTTGAGGGGGGGGAAAGTACATCTCTCAGCAATAGACACCACATGTCTACATTCCCCAAACTGCAATGGCTTTAAAAAGTATTAACTTGACAGTACTTCTCTCTCAATATTTTTATTGTGCTACTTGCGCAAAGAAATTGTGTACTGATTTAGATCTTTAAATTATTCATTTAACAAGTTCATTTAAATAAGTTTAATATTCCATAGATGACAAGCAGCTTAAATACAAGGTTTGATACCTAAAAATTTAAAAATAAAATGAAAGTCATAGTCAAATTTTCAACAAGGCAAGGTAACATTGATCACTAACCTGACTAAACGGCCGCACTCGCACTGCTACTTTCACACTGTCAATACTGGGTGTAGGCATTTTCATCATTTTCCCATTATTTGTATTATTTCGTAGAAAAATAATATAGAAAGCACACTGCTTTCACTTCACCCTAAAACATTAAAGTTTAGCCAACAAAAGCAGTTTGCTTCTAGACAATCAATTATTAACGGTCCATTCATTACACGCTATCAATTACCTGTTATAAATTATTTTACAACACTTATTTATTGATGAATTGTATAGCCTACATCAAGTATCAACACTTTTAATTGCACACAGTCATTCTGCAGAGAAAAGTGGTTGTTTTTTTTCTTCTTTTTCCACATCTACTCACACTCTTCCCCCATCTTCTACGGTCTGTGCCTGAGGTGCTGTGAGAATTTGTCAGTTTTAAAACCTGAATATTAAGGAATTTCTGTGATTCAGTAGCAAGCTCCTTCAAAGCAGTAATAAAATGTCTTCAGACTTCTCATTCTATCAGTATTAGGCACACACAAGGTACAATGAATATCCATGAAAGAGATTTTTTTCATATTCCCCTTTCTTCTCAAACCCTTTTCAGAAGTTGCTAGTGAGCAGTGAACCGGTCACTCTAACCTGGATAATTGGTCTCTGAATAATTTAGAGACTTTAAAGATAATAGCCTTTAAGCCTGTTGAACAAGAAATACCAACGTTACATTTAACCAATGCATTACTTAGAAAATTACTCATTTGAGGTAGAATACACAGAATTTGTTAAAACTACAAAAAAGTGGCAAAATTCCATGCCCATAATTCAATTTGAACATAGCAACCCGAAACGCCCCCCAAAACACTTTAGAAATATTAATCACAGAAGCAAAGTGCATAAATTATAAAATAGCAACTTAAAAAAATTAGCAGTTCAGTTGTCCTCATTTTTAGATTGGTCTAATACTTTTAACTGTAGAGAAAGGAAATGGGACCAACGCCTGCTAGCATATAAAATTATTACTAACAGAAATTCCCCTCTCAAAAATCTAACCGACACAAACCACTGTGAAGTATATACTTTATTTAACATTCTAATACGCCATATTTACATATTATATAAATGTATGAAGTCTTAATATAAAATAGGAAAAAAATTCCTCCACTAAAAGGATCATACTCCATATGGAGTTATTTTACTTATGGAAGACCTTCTGTTTACAAAAATTTACAATTTATATAAATTATTATCTTCCAAATTAGATGATTTTTAATAATCCACATAATTCTGGTGATTTTACAAATAGGTGTATGTTAAAACTTGAAAAGATCACAACATTTTCCTGCGCACAATTTGTTTTGGGAAGGAAGACGGCTTCTTTCTATTCCTTCCAAGAGCTTTTCCTGCTCCTTGTACTGTAGCCCTTGACTTTCTCTTCACTCCGTCACCTGGGGTTGCCATGGGAGAAATCAGCTTAACTTCTCCTGGAGGAGGTGACCAAGAACTTTCCTGTTCTGGGATTCTGAAAAAAAGATATAATCCAAGTAAGAATAAACACATCATAATATGACATAGAACTGGCTTCCCAGTATATGAAAAGAAACCTTAGGGATTACCCTTTCCTAATGCTTTCATTTTATAAAAGAACAGAAGTGAAGCTTTAGTCACATAAGTTAATTAGAGGCACAGTTAGTTTCACAGGACAGAAATTTTCCTTTTTAATTTGGATATTCAAAAACAACCACTGCTGAATGTGTCCTTTAAATGTTTCATATGTACTAATAAATACTGCTGGGTTATAGGGACTGACCAAGTACCAGTAGTCCGGGCACAGAATGAAAGCCTAACAGGCCCATGAAGGTATGAGAAACAGCAATTGTCAAACAGTGGCAATTAAAAACTATGTATGTATTTTCATAATGATATGTAGTTTTCCACATACATAAAGCTAATTTCTGTTTAAGTAGTGTTCTTATAGTCAAAGACTCATTAAATTAGTTTTTAAAGTAAGATAAAATCGATTAATTTACTTTTATGAAATCCCATGATGCCAAAGCACAGCATAAATAAAATACCATGTAACAAATATATCTGAAATGGAGTAATTTCCCCATGAATAGTTTTATTGCTATTAGTGACATAATCACAGAAGTTTTAAGTTTATATTTACGTTCTACTAACAGTCATCTATCTTTACTAAGGAAAATGTAAAACATCCCACTCCTGTCCCCCACCCACTGCAAAAACAAAGATTTATTGGGTATTACACTTCTCCCCCTCTAAAAAGGATGAATGGGCTTTCCCACTATAACGAAATCCAGCTTCTACAGTGAAATCTAACAATTGCAAGGAGCAAGTGCTTATAAATGCCCCTAAGAATTACCCTTTTCTAAGGAGCCTGATTTTCTCTTTTAAATCAACTCCTCAAATCTAATTTTAAGAAGCAAAACAGAAATTATAGCTGGAAAAAGTCATACCTGCTTGCTTGTTTTGGTGTTTCAGTCCTGATTCTTTTCACTTTTTGCTGTCCCACAGCACTGTCTTCCTAAGGGTTAAAATTTTAAAAAGACAAATCTTAAGTAATTAAACATTTAAAGTCTAAACTTAAAAAGTTCTTTACTAAGTCAAGGAATATAGTCAAACAGTGCTAATGAATTCAAACTCAGCAAGTCCCAAATGAACTCTTATTTCTTGGTAGAAAACTCGGTCAGCTAAGACCACTTTTTATTCCCTCACCCTGACACATTCAATTACCTGTCCTCTCAGTTTCATTTTTTTAAATGCGTCCATTGCTCACAGCCCTTTTGTTCTCATTGCCTCTGTCCAAATCCAGGCTCTCATCATCTCGTAAGAGTTGGGCCACCAGAGACTACTTTTCCTCACCAGAATTCATTTTTCATAGAAACAATTTAAAGTATGTACAGGGCTATTTGTTAATGTGCAAACGCCCCCCCCCCCC